TATGACAGAGGGATAGAAAGGTGTTAGCCCGAAATCCTTCTGTCCTCAGAGTAAAATCCCCCAAAGTCACCAGAGCCACAATTATCCAATGCATTTTTCTTCCTTAATCCTTCTCTGTTCCTTCACTGACTCGTTTACAGTCGGTTCTATGAATCCAGCGGGGTTGTCCTTGCACTTTCACAGCTGTGGGGGTGGTCAGCAACACCTGATATGGTCCTTTCCACCTTGGTTCCAACTTTCCCCGGTCCCAGTTCTTAATCAGGACAAAATCTCCAGGGTCTACAGTAGGGTAGTCTCCTTCAGACAGATTGTCACCCTCTCAATAGGCTTGGCGTACCTGTGAATGTAAACTTTGGAGAGTTTTGGTTAACTTGTGCAGGTATTTTCCCATTTCCTCCCCCAGAGTGTGCATATCCAATTTTTCAGGAAGGGGAGGTCGGACTACCCCAAGTCCGCATGGGGTCCGCATGGGCTTCCCATAGACAATCTCAGCGGGAGATAACCCTGTTTTACCTGAGGGGGTAACTCTCATATGGAATAGCGCCAAAGGTAGGACCTTCAACCAGTTCAGTCCTGTCTCCTGTGTTAACTTGGCCAACTTATTCTTTAGAGTGCCGTTTGCTCGTTCCACTATCCCGGCTGCCTTTGGATGGCGAGTGCAGTGGAACTGTTGCTTTATAGCTAGCTCTTTGCAGATCTCCTCGTTTACTCTAGCTACAAAGTGTGGTCCATTGTCGGAGCTTATCATTTCTGGAAGTCCATAACGGGGAATTATTTCCCTCAACAATATTTTTACCACTGTTGTAGCAGTATTGTCAGTCGTTGGGATACCTTCGATCCATGTACTAAATACATCTACTATTACTAAACAATACTTATAACAATGTACTCTAGGTAGTTCTATAAAATCAAGTTGTAGACAAGCAAAAGGCCCACCGGGGCAGAACCACAGGGCATCCCTCTTCCAGCATTCGTCTTTTTACAAATTAAGCATGCTTTAGCTCATCTCTCAGTTGTTTTCTGAAAATCCAGGTGCCACCAGGTTTGTAATAAAGTATTAACCATTCCCTCCCTCCCCAAGTGTGTACAATTATGGACATAATCAACTAAGATTGGTAGGAGCAAAGAAGGAACACAAACTTGTCCCGCAGGGGTCACCCATAGCTTAGTTTGAGGGTCGAGGTAGCACCCCATTTGAGTCCATAGTTTGTGCTCCTCAGCAGGGGCGACCCCTGTAATTTCTGTATCTCACCCAGGTCTGGCATACCCGTCCTTACACTGTTTCTAACCAGGTTTTGCTGGGAATCCAATGGAACCAGAAGTACGGGGTGTAAGGCCGCCTACTTGGCAGCAGCATCTACCCGCTCATTGCCTTTGGAGACTGTATCTATTGCACCGGTGTTAGCCAAACATTTGATTACCGCTAGACTGGCTGGCAATCGCAAAGCCTGCAAGAGGTTATGCACAAAAACAGCATTACTAATAGGCTGTCCCGTGGAAGTTAAAAATCCCCTATGTTCCCACAAGGCTCCGTAATCGTGGGCCACGCCAAAAGCATAGCGAGAGTCAGTATATATATAACCGTCCTTTGGACATACTGGGCGAATTGGGCTGGTTTTTCCTTACGATCCAGAGCTTGGTTCATTATCATTATCATTTCTTGGGGCTTCCTGGGGACATAAACTCCAATTGTTGGTTCCTGATCGTCATCAGCGGCTCTGGGATTTGCTAACTGTCGTATTGGACACTGCAATTGGGAACCAATTTGGAGTCCACTAACCCCGGTACAAAGGTCAGACGGTACCTGTCTTCTGGGGGTTTATTTTTACCCAATCGGCCACACTGGATCCCTCGGGAGCCTGATACGGCGGCGGGGACGGTGAAGCTGGAATAGGCGGGTGTACGGGAGGTACTGGCAATCTAGGATAACATTCCCATTCCTCATCTCTATCGGTATCATCCCCCTCATCAAACAGGGTCGGTATGCCAGATATAGGCTCGGGATCCCGAGTAGAGCTTAGATTCTCTTTACAGCGCTGTTGCTTTAACCCTTCCTGTCTATCTTTCTCAGCCTTGGTGTCTTTACGCTGTTTCTCCTGTTCCCTTTTTCGCCTTCTGTCTACACATTCGCACTCAGCTTTTAACGTCTCCCAACTTTTGGGAGTTCCATCCGCTGTACACACCTCTATCACCTGCATTATTCCTCCAACTGGCCAATTAGGTATCTTTCCATTTACTATTAGCTTTATCCTTCCATTCTTTAATTAATGATTTCCACTTTTTTTCCACAATTTTTCTTCCAAACTAGGTTTACCGCCTGTTCACAAGAGGCCACATCCCCGGTCCCACCCAGGGGCCAAATCTTGTCCCCTAATCGTTTGTTAAGTGCAGAACTTAATTTCCGTAAATCATTTTCCTGATCAGGTATTCTCTCACACATATTCTGAAGGGGAGTCCCCTCTCCTGCTGTATCGAGGGATTGTCCCATTATACTCCCTTGTTAACTATTTCTTTTATAACAGTACCACAGAGGTAAGAAATTTAACGAGTCTGCCCCCTTCCTCTATCATATTCTAATTTTAACCAGCCATATCACAAAGGAGGCAGATCTCTAGATCGAATCCATCAGGTAGTGGCGACCACTTCTCCTGACCGGGGTCCCCAGTCCCGACTCTTTATCTCAGGAACAATACACAATAGCCAATGTCACCCTCAGCATTTCTTACCTTATGATCCTGGTCCGGACGTCGTTGGATCCCGTCAAGGTACCAGTCTCACTGGGCGGGGGGCAGATCGTCTGTCTGAACATAAGGAGTGGTCTGAGGTAAAATACCTCGGGGCGCCCTACCACTCTATTATGCTCGATTCAAACTCTTGGTCACTTATTCAGCCCAGAGAAACGTTCCCTTTGTTGGGATCTAAGTCACGGCACCAAAATGTTGACTCAAAAACTTCCGGACCCCACAAGAGTTGCATTAACTTCTTTATTTTAGCTTAGCCGGCGAGAGGTCCGGAGTCAACACCAGGGTAACAGTCAAGCTCTCACTTGGTGGACTCTCGTTGGACCTCTGTGTATAGCATAAAAGCAGTAAATTTTATAGCCCTCATGTGTGTGATTAATATACATATTTCTCTATCCGACATGACTAAATGTTATCACATCCCATACTGTTCACATGCGTCATAAGCAGATAAGCAGTGCAGTTAACAACGTTCCATTGAATGGAGGAAGCAGCCCCAGCCGTGGGAAGAACAGCTGCAACCTTCAGCTTGTTACAAACACAGGCACACATTCCAAAATTTACGGTACATCGTTATTTCAGCAAAACTTCTAACTGTTGCTTCCCCAATACTTTATCAGTACAGTAGAGAGGAGAAACAAATTAAATAGTCAAGGCAGGCAAGAATGAGGTAAGATGGATAAATTAAACTGCATTTATTTCAATGCAAGAGGCCTGACAGATAAGGCAGATGAACTCAAGGCATGGTTGGGAACATGGGGCTGGGATATCATAGCTCTTACAGAAATGTGGCTAAGGGAGAAGCAGGACTGGCAGCTTAATGTTTAAGATATGAGATGCTAAAAGAAGAATAGAAAGGGGGTCAAGACAGGAGGTGGAGCGGCATTTTTGGTTAATGATAACATTACAGCTGTACCTTGGGAGGATATTTCTGCAAAGTTATATAGGTGGAACTGAGAAATAGGAAAGGGATGATCACTTTTTTTGGGATTGTACTATAGGCCACACAATAGTCAGCGGGAAATTGACATGTAAATATATAAGGAGATCTCAGTTGTCTGTAAGAATATTAGGGTTGTAATGGTAGGGGATTTTAACGTTCCAAACATAGACTGGGACTACCATAGTGTTAAAGGCTTGGATGGAGAGGAATTTGTTAAGTGTGCACAAGAAAATTTTCTTATTAAAAATTACATTTTCGTATGTGGATGGAACTTGTAGAGATGGAGCTAAACTTGACCTTCCCTTGTCGGTGGTGGTGGTGTTATGCTCAGTGAAGGAAAGGAGGTTATCTCAGAGTACAACGGGACCTCGATCAGATGGGCCGAGGAATGGCAAATTGAGTTTAATTTAGATAAATGTGAGGAGGTGCATTTTGGAAAGGCTCACAAGGGCAGGACTTGTACAGTTAACAGTCAGGTCCTGGGGAGTGTTGCCGAACAAAGGGACCTTGGGGTGCAGGAGCATAGTTCCTTGAAAGTGGAGCTGATGGTAGGGTGGTGAAGGCCTTTGACACACTTGCCTTCATTGCTCAGAACATTGAGTATAGGAGGTAGGACTTCATGGTGTAGCTGTACTGGACATTGGTTAGGCCAATTTTGGAATATTGCTTCAATTCTAGTCTCCCTGCTAAAGGAAAGATGTTGTTAAACTTGAAATGGTTCAGAAAAGATTTCCAATCCCGGCAACATCCTTGTAGATTTTGAGCTTTGAGAGAGGCTGAATAGGCTGGGGCTTTTTTCCCTGGAGCGTCAGAGCCTAAGTGGTGACCTTATAGAGATTTATAAAATCCCGAGGGGCATGGATAGTGTGAATAGCTAAGGTCTTCTTCCTCGGGATGAGGGAAATCCAAAACTAGAGGGCATAGATTTAAGGTGAGAGGGGCAACTTTTTCACGCAGAGGGTGGTGGGTGTTGGAACAAGCTGCCAGAGGAAGCAGTGAAGGCTGGTACAACCACAACATTTAAAAGGCATCTGGATGGGTACATGAATAGGAAGGGTTTAAGAGGGTAAATGCTGGTCAATGGGACTAGATCAGTTTAGGATATCTTGTCAGCATGGAAGAGTTGGACTGAAGGGTCTGTTTCCGTGCTGTATAACTCTATAACCATGGCTCTAAATTAGTTAAATCATCATTTCCCTTTGACAAAACTGTGTTGGGTCTGGCTAATGACTTCGAACTTATCCAAGTACACTGTTATAATGTCTTTAATAATAGCTTCTAACATGTTCCCTTTGACAGATATTAAGCTAACTTGCCTGGTTTTGCCTCCTTCCCTTTTTGAATAATTTGATTTATTGTCACGTGTATCTTGTTACAAAGTACAGATGAAAGCGTTGTACGGTGTCGCCACTGTCCAGCGCCATCTTTAAAACACAAAAATAAAACAAGATAGAATATAAAGGCAGAAAAATGAACAAACAAAGAAAATGTCCAACGTTGCAGTCCTTCTTGTTAAGTGCTCTGTCATGGGCATGGTGGCCAGGCACAAGTCCACTTCACTGTGCCTCTGGAATGAAAGTCACCACTCTTTGGTGCCATTGCGCCTCCACCAACATAACTGGCACCATCTCGGTTGCACACTCGATTACAAAAATGGAATAAAAAGAAAACAGAAATAAAGGAAACAAAGCCAAAACGAATGAGAAGCGCCCAGATGTTAAAGTTTTATCTCCAAGCAGGCACCCAGGCCAAGCCACAGCCTGGAGTCTCGGAAGGAGCTGAGTGTTTGCTACCGCTGATCTTACCAGCTCCGATTATATAACTACCGGTGCCGCAACCAGGTCCCAGAACTTGCTCAGGCCAGGCCAGCTTGCAACCTCCAATCGCCAGATCCCGGAACATGTTCGAGCAAAGGAGTTATATTAGTTACTTTTCAATCTAAATGAGAAGAACCCTAGGATAAAATTAATCAGGACCCAGGTACATGTGAACTCTCAGTTTCAATAATTTACTCAGTACTACTTCCCTGGCAATTGTGATTTTCTTGAATTCCTCCCTCTGTTTCAATTCCTGGTTTACAGATTTTCCAAATGTTACTTGTATCCGCTCTGGTGAAGACCAATGCAAACTACCTGTTCGATTTGTCTGCCATCTCTTTATCCTCTTTTATTATCTCCAAGACCCATTTTCTATACTATCAACATTTTATTTGTTAAGTCGACTTCTTTAAAAATCTGAAGAAACTTTTCCTATCTGTTTTTGTAGTTTTGGCTAGATTTGTCTTACGCTCAATTTTTTTTCTCCGTATTTGCCTTTTAATAATTCTGCTATATTTTACATTCTGTCCAATCTCCTGACCTGCCAACTATCTTTGCACAATTATTTATCTTTTTGATTTGGATATATCTTTGACATTTTTAGTCAACCAAGGATGCAGAGCCTGTTCCTTCGAATTTTATTTGTTGGAATGTATCAATTCTGCGATTTTTGGAATATCCCGTTAATGTTCGCCACTGCATTACTATTGACCTACTGCTTCCCCTAAATTGCCAGTTCACTTTTGCTAACTCTGCTTTCATGCCCTCATAAGGGCCCTTGATTAAATTCAAAATAGTACACTTAGACCTATCTTTCTCATTCTTAAATTACATGTAGAATTCAATTATATTAAGGTTGCTACCAGGGGCGTTTTCATTATGAGATCAGTAATTAATCCTATCCTGGACAAAACCAGGCCTGCTCTCTGGTTGGTGCCATAACATACTGGTCTAAGGAACTGCAATGAATGTATTCAATTAATTCCTCACCCACAACTACTTTTTCCCAACTGATAATTGCTGGACCACTTTGATAAGCTCCCATTATTTCTTCCCCTGTCCTACCATGTGGTTACTGTTCAGGGGTCTGTACACAACTCCCATAAGTGACCTGAGATAGTGAGAACTGCCAATGCTGGAGAATCTGAGATAATAAGGTGTAGAGCTGGATAAACACAGCAGGCCAAGCAGCATCAGAGGAGCAGGAAAGCTGACATTTTGGGTCTTTAGAAATAGGGGAGGGGAAGGAGATTCTGAAATAAATAGAGTGAGGCAGGGAGGCGGATGGAAGATGGATAAAGGAACAGATAGACGGAGAGGAGACAGACAGGTCAATGTGGACTTCAAAATCTCCCCTCCCCCGACCGCATCCCAAAACCAGCCTCGCTTGTCCCTGCCTCCCTAACCTGTCCATCCTTCCTCCCACCTATCTACTCCTCCCACCTCAAGCCCCACCCCCACCTCCTACCTACCAGCCTCATGCTGCCCCCTTGACCTGTCCGTCCTCCCCGGACTGACTTATCCCCTCCCTAACTCCCCACCTACACTCACCTTTACTGGCTCCTTCCCCGCCTCTTTGACCTGTCTGTCTCCTCTCCACCTATCCGCCTCCCCCTCTCTATTTATTTCAGAATCCCCTTCCCCTTCCCCTCCCCCTTCCCCTCCCCCATTTCTGAAGAAGGGTCCAGACCCGAAACGTCAGCTTTCCTGCTCGGCCTGCTGTGTTTATCCAGCTCTACACTTTGTTATCCCGCAAGTGACCTCTTGTTTTTATTATTCCTCATCTCTACACAGACTGCTTCTATATCCTAGTTTTCTGAATTTAGGTCATCCTTTTCTATTGTGCTAATATCTTTAACGAACAGAGTCACTCCTCCACCCTTCCCTAGTTTCCTGTCCATCCTAAATGTCTCATAACTTTCAATACTTGGGGTTCAATCCAGATCATCCTGCAACCAAATCTCAGTAAAGACCACTAGACTGTACTTGTCTCGATTTGTACTAGTTCAAGTGTTTTGTTTCAAATGCTACTTGTATTCAAGTACAATACTGTAAGTTCTGTCCTTTCGTTATTTTAGCACTTTTCTAGTGTTGTCTGCTAATTTGCTCTCAGATCTGATCTGGATTCTTCGACCCTTTTAGTCATTGTCTTATTTTCCACATTAATTCCTTCCTCTGTTGCTGTTTTCCCACTCTTTGTTTCATCGCAATTTCCCAAATGTGGGTCATTTCCCCACTATTTAGTTTAAAACCCATTCTACTTCCCTAGTTACGCACTTTGCAAGAATACCAATGCCAGCACAATTCGTGTATTGATCATCCCAACAGTACAGATCCCACTTTATTAATTCTTGTATTTTTCCACCACAAGATGGTCTCCAGTATTCTCTTCCACTTCATGGTTACTGCACAGGGTCACAGCTTACAAGCACCTAGCTGGCACCAGTAATAATTCCTCCCTCCCAAATATCCAGGGAATATTTGGTAAAACTGTGTGCAGGAAGCATGATCCACTGGTCTACAATGGGCATCACTGCACTACAGCTGCTCAGTGCTCTCATAGCCAAATACACAACCAATCCACTGGGTATATGTCAAAAAATATTTTTCATGACATACAAGCTTACTGCAGGATTCAGTGGCAACTCCCAGGGGCAAATTACATCAATTTAATGAATTTCATTTTTGTTGTTTTAATTAAGATAAGAATTTGTTAATTTTGCAACAACTATCGTAATATTAAAAGGGCAGAAGCAAAAGGAGAGTTAGGATTATAGTTTCTAGCACCGACAATTCACAAAGTGAATAATCTTTTTTTTTAATGCAATAGGCAACTTTCTCCCCAAACTACATCCGGTGCACATACATATTAAAAGGGCTAATAGTAAGATTAATTTTCACATACAATTTCAGGAAGATTCAGATAACTGGAGGGCAGAATAATCAAATTATGAAGAGTCTTTGGACTTGAAACGTTGACTGTTTCTTTTTCCACAGAAGCTACTGGATCTGAGTTTGTCCAACATTTTCTGGTTTTATTACAGCAGAAATACTTCCTTGTTGATTGGCTGTTACAGTATTATTCAGGTTTAAGCAAACACACTTTCAAATTTGAGTTGAAGCAAGAATTGATCAGAAGGCAACATTGCTCTGTGGAGCAGGATATATCACAACATGTGAGACTGACTCAGAGATAGTAAGAACTGCAGATGCTGGAGTCAGAGATAACACAGCTCCTCTGATGCTGCCTGGCCTGCTGTGTTCTCCAGCTCCACACTGTATTATATGTGAGACTGACATTTCTGAATGAATGATCCTCGCTCGGATGGTTTCTAACAGTTCATTATGTCAGCTTGGAACAGATAAGGGGCAACCATCTGAGGAAAGATCAAATATTGCCATGAACCAAGTTGATTAGATAACAAGATAAATATACCCTTCTTTGATGCTAATCCTATTTCATTGACAGGTACTATACATTTTATAGCAACTGCTGCACATTTTAAACTAATTTAAAATTATTTCCTATGGTTGGAGTGAATCATGACACCAAATCACATGGCCACAAAATTAGATCCAAATAATACACCAACTGCCAGCCTATCAGTTGACTCACAAGAACATGGGATAGAGTGGACAAGAAGAAACACAAACCAATGTCCAAATTCTCATTTGCTACTGTAAAAGCCATGGCCAAGACCTAGACTTGGGTGAGATATTCTTGCCTCCAAGGTCAATAGTGACAGTTTTCCACCTAAGCTTGCATGTGAACAGTGAGAGCTTGAAAGAGGCAGCAAAAGGTAAACCAGATCTACAGAGTTATGCTCATCAGCTTTTGAAGACAAATTGAGTTTTAATATTTACTTTACTTGCCAGGAAAATCAATTTAAATTGTATTTGACCAAGTCAATGGCAACTAACCTTTCAACTTAAAACATGTTTACATAAATTCTGGAGGAATACTGGTGTGCCATGTGCTGGAAATTCCTACGGGAATAAAACATGTTTACTGGATATAACTTGAAATCAATGTGCCTTCAAAATGTTGTGCTAAACTGGATTAGCAGTTAAGTGTCGACACACTTAGTCACAAATATTTTTGTTCCCAGTTCTCTTAGTCTGCACCACTGCCAGACATCTTTATACCAACCCCAAACCCCTTCTACTGCAGCGATATGGAGAAGTTATTCAACACAATCAGCTGTATTGTTTTCATACTGGAGAAATACACAAAATGTTGGCCTAAAGTTTCTACCCAAGAAAGATCCTCATTTTGGATGTTGACATGTTATATACTTTTCCAGCCCTTGATTCTGAGATTTTCCTTTGTCAATGATTTTCTTTATCAAATGATTCACAATGTTCTATATTTACATTTAACATCAGGCACCAAGGAGAAAGGTGGCAGGAATGGTGTAGTTCTGTTTACACTCCAACCTATTATGCCACAGAATGATCAAGCATTCATCTGTACCCTGAGTGCCTATACTGTGGAAAATATAGAGGACAGTCAGGGACCGCAAAGGGAGAAAGTATGACTACACAATTTTGGGCGAAAAAGCCAAGCTACAGCTCATTGTATTTATAACAGTGTGAATTTTCTTCAA